AAGGCCTGGTCCTGCACAGTAGTGAAGTGCAACAAAAAGAACTTCAAATAACCAGTCCCTCAGCTGGGAGGATGCCTCCTGCAAACTGAATAAAGCATTCTGAAGTGTGTACTAAGAACCACAATGTTTGCACTCAAGAGGCTAACATGAAGGACAGATTGCATTGATATTTCCTGGTGTAGTTCTTCCTGTGAACAACGTTGAATAGCTGAGCAAGTACTGTGATCCCTGAGCAGCTAACAGTGCAACTTTCATATACCCTCAGTTGAAACTGCTTTGCTTTTATGTATCTTCCTACCTCTTCTGAAACAACAGTGCCCTTTAGAACACCTACATGGATATGAGGTGTAGGGGGAGAGGAAGACAGAATTTGCAGCCCTTACTTCTGTGCCATATCAGGTAACACATACAGGTTTCACAGGCATAAGCAGATGAACTTGATCCTGCTTCTAGGGGCATCAGCAGCTGGGCTGGTCTTTAAATCTACAGAATAGGCTTGTTCCTCTTCAGCAAGGATGTAGACAGCATTATCAGGCTTACATGTTAAAAACCAACTCAGTCCCTAAGAACAGAAAATCAAAACTACTTGACTTGCTGTTTTTCCAAAATAAATGGTTTCTTGTCACTAAAAGCCCTGAAGATTTCGTCCAGGTTATCTGGAACAGTTTCATCAATGTGCAGGCTGGCTGTCTACTAAGAACTTGTTGTCTAGGCTGTTTATATCATTAAAGAGAGCTCCCTCCATAAGGTGATTAATTCTAGCCTGAGGTGGAATAACTTAAAACTGTCTGCCACCCTCTGCAAATACCTGCCTCTATCCCTTAGGGACAGAAGGAGCCCTTAGATTAGCTAGCTGACTGCCAGCTAAGGGTGGGAAAGGCAATTCCTACAGCCTGCAACATTGTTTGAAGGAGTTGGGAATGAATTACCAACAGACCTTGTGAAGTCCCCCTCTGGGTTCCTCCCTGTGCTCAGTCAAAGTTGCCACATGCTCATCTCTCTAAGCTTGAGGACAGCCAGCAAAGTGCCTGCTGAGGGCTGTTGTGGGTGAGGGTGCTCAAGAGGAGTCTACAGTACAGGTCTCATTAAGGTGTTTATTGAGCTCTCTTTTTAACAGAAAACATCTACTTCATTTATTTTCACCATGAAAGAGCAGGTTGAAGCACACCAGAGGAACGAGGAAGCAACTCCATTGGTATGCATGTTCCCTCCTCATGCTGTCCTGCTTTGGTTAAAGTTCTTGAATGTGCTTGGACACAGGGACTGAGGTCAGCATTTCTCCTTCCATGTGGAAAGCCTAGAATATGAGGTGAACTGCAAGGCCATCACTTAGGTATGGTCTTAGTAGCATATAGCTGAGGTCCAGTCATTTCTATTCAGGTAGTCTGTTTGGTAATTTCAAATTTAAGGCAATAGTATTATTGTTATTATCTTACATTCAGCAGTTGATGGAGTAATAGTAGCACAGGATGATTCAGTTTTCTCAGTGGTAGTGTTGTGACAACTTGTAGAAAGCCCCAGCTGAATAAGACAGTTTTGTTGCAGAAATTTTTTGTTCCTTTTTGATTTTTCTCTTTGATACAGTCAAGCAGTACTTCCCTGTTTATAGAATTTCAATTGATTAGCATGGTGAAGTTCACGTACTCTTTTCTTACTATTCTTTCTAATTTTATATGGGCACGGAGAACCTAAACAGCACTCTAATTTTATACAGCAAGGAATCTTCACCTGGCAATGTCTCTGACCCTGTAAGGCTTTCCTCCCACTGTTTCCTCTACTTCTCCCTCCTAGGCAGTTATATTGGTTCAATAAGTTTATAATACTCATTAAACTCATACAGGAAAAATACTAATAATTAGAAATTAACTCTGAGAGATCTCTCCAGAGATCATCTAATCTCCTTTCCCAATCATTTCTTGTGGGCTATGCTTTCTAGACCAATGAACATAATTTCTTCCCTCTGGATTTCTTCAGAGTCTCAACATATATGAAAAAGACATTTTCAGGTGGCTCTATTCTCCTTTTTAACAGACTCTATCTCCCATAATACAATAATAATTCAGCTACAACTCAAAATGTAGTCACAGATGCCTAAAACTGAGTGTCTAATATGAAAGGTTTCTTTTCTTTTGAATATTTCTCTCTTTTTTCCCTGTATTTTAGTCTTGATCAGACTTCCTGAAGCAGCTTTGGATTATTTGCATTACCATTTCAGAAAGAAACCATTCCTGATTTTCAAAGGTCAGAGCAATTTGAGCTCCTTCAGGCAGCCTGAAAATACTGTCCACTTGTCTTCGATATAATCACCTGGATTGGAGGCAAAAAGAATTAAAATTCTTTCCAGACAATGTGTGCAAAACTGTTCTTTTTTTCTCAAATTAGAATAGAGTTGTCAGTCAGGAGTCACCACCACAAGCACCCATTGAACACGCTTTGCCAAACTCAAGACTGCTGCTTACCTCACAGATGGTGAAAATAGCACATAGGTTTTCCAAGGAAGACTTCTTCTTTGATCTTCCCTAGAAATGGTCTGGAGCTTCTGGTTACTTCAGAAAGTCCCTGAGAAAGGCAGAAGGAACCCCAGCTTCACCACACAGGGAGAGAAGAGGTCAAGGATTACTTTTGGTACTCCCAGACAATGATACCCATGTGTGGACCCTGGGCAATGGACTCCAAAGGAGTTCCACATTCAAGAGCTAAGTCCCTCTTCCAGGTGGCCACCTCTCTTTTTCATGGGGCAGCAAAAATAAAGTGCCTTAGGCAAGATTTTTAGTCCTGCAAGCCAAGCAATTCATTACCAGGCACAGTGGTTCACAAAAGATTAATTGTGCATGCAAGACTTCTGAACTAGCAGCCTGTACATTGAGTAGGAAGAGATGTCCTGAGTGGCAAAACCCGTAACTTATCAAATTCAGACAGAAACTTGAAGGGAGATGGTCTAGAAAGAAAATGTGTTTTGTGTTTCTCTGTTATTCGTTCTGTCCCTATAGGGAAGGCACTTTCTGCTCAGGCTTGAAAGTTTTCAGTGGTTTGCTGTCTATACTTACAGCAAAATCTAAGCAGCCCCTTCCACATCAACAGGAAACATTTTTGTGCTTTCAGCCTTCAGATCCCTTCAGGTTATGTATCCTTCAGAACCCTTCAGGTTATGTATCCCTGGTTTTATTGAAACTCTACATAGATTTTTTTTTTCCTTAGGAAATGATGACAAAATCCAGCTATAATTATAGCACAAGCCTGTCTTACAACTTTTCAAGAATACTTTAGGAAAACACCCTAAAGTCTTAGAATAGTCAAAAACTGTTGCCAAAAGCCTGAAAATTTGGAAAATGTATCCTTCCTATAAAGTTGGAAAAGACTCCATAGGGAGCAGAGAAGTGGCCATATTATTCATCAGTTCTGGTTTATAATGATCTATGGGACACAATGATATGTATCCCAGGGTCCTGAGAGAATTAGCTGATGTAGTTGCCAAGCCACTCTCCATGACATTTGAAAAGTCATGGCAATAGGGGAAGTCCCAGGTGACTGGAAAAAGGGAAGCATTGTACCCATCTTTAGAAAGGGTAGAAAGGAGGACCCTGGTAACTACTGACCTGTCAGCCTCACCTCTGTGCCTGGGAAGATCAGAGACAGCAGATCCTCCTGGCAGCTCTGCTAAGCTAAGGTACATGGAGGACAGGGAGGTGGTTTGGGACAGCCAGCACAGCTTCACCAAGGGCAAATCTGCCTGACCAACTCAATGGCCTTCTATTCTGGAGTAACTACAATAGTGGACAAGGGAAAGGTGACAGGTGTCATGTATTTGGACTTCTGAAAGCTTTTGACACAGTCTCCCACAACATCCTTCTCTCTAAATTGAAGAGAGATGGACTCAGTGGGTGAACTCTTAGATGGATTAGAAAGTGGTTGGACGGTCCCATCTGGAGGGTAGCGGTCAACGGCTCAGAGTCCCAATGGACATCAGTGATGTGAGGTGTTCCTCAGGGCTCATAATGGGACCAGTACTATTTAATAATCTTCATTAATTAAGTAGATGAAGGAATTGAGTGCACCCCCATCAAATTTGCAGATTACATGAAGCTAAGGAGTGCAGTTGACACACCTGAAGGACGGGATACCATCCAGAAGGACTTGGACAAGCTCGAGAAATGGGCCCGTGGGAATATCATGAGGATTAACAAGACCAAGAGCAAGGTGCTGCACTTGGATCTGGGCAACCCCTGGTATCAATACAGGCTGGGGGATGAACAGATGGAGAGCAGCCCTGCTGAGAAGGATTTGGGGGTGCTGGTGGATGAGAGGTTGGACATGACCCACTGCTAGAAAGCCAAGTGTGTCCTGGGCTGCACCAAAAGCAGCGTGGCCAGCAAGGCGAGGGAGGTGATTCTGCTTCTCTGCTCCAATGTGGTGAGACCCCACCTGGAACTGCATCCACCTCTGGGGTCCCCAGCACAGGAAAGACATAGACCTGTTGGAGTGAGTGCAGAGGAGGGCCACCAAGATGCTTAGAGAGATGGAGCACCTCTCCTATGAGGAAAGGCTGAGGGAATTAGGTTTCTTCAACCTGGAAAAGAGAAGGCTTTGGAGTGACCTAATTGCGGCCTTCCAGTACCTGAAAGGAGCCTACAAGAAAGATGGAAAGAAATTATTTACAAGGGCATGTAATGACAGGACAAGGGCAATGGCTTTAAACTGAAACTAAGTTTAGATTAGAAGTGTCCAGAGCAAATAGAAATACTTATTGTCCTGAGAATGGGTTTTTATTTAATTTAACCAGCCTGTCTTACCCTTGTAGAGATGCAGTAGTTCAGACACTGACAGCTCCAGTTCCACCTGGAGCAGAACAAGTAAACACCCATGAAGTCTTCATCCCTCAGTTCTTACCTCAGCCTGGAAACTGAGCTCTTTCAGAAAAGAAGAACATCACCCTTGATTCTTGTAATAAGATTTTGCAACAGATCACACAGGAAGTGCTGTTTCCTATTTTGAGATATAGGGTTTAAGTATGTGTTTGTTCACAAAGGAGAAGAAGACACGGGCAGACAAAACCAGCTTGATAAATCAGTGAGTAGCTAAATTTATTTTCCTTATTTTTACATCTTAATGTGTATATATAGATATAGATTCACTATGTGGGGAAGTATAGGTGCCTAATGACAGTAGTAGTAGAGCTAATACTCTCTGTAAAAGCAAATGGGTCTTGTAACTGGTTTACAGTGTAGATAAGGCTAAATATGAGAATAGAGAATCGAACTGGACAAGTGTTGTAGAAAATCTTTTTTTCTACCAAAACTTACTGGGTCTTGGTTTCAAAGTCAAAACCAGTCTTCTCTTCAAGGGCTACAGCTTCTGCAGAAGATGTTCCTTTCTGCATGAAAATGAAAACTGGAAAAATGATTAAAGATAAATTACAAAAAAAAAAAAAGTCATAGAATCATAGAAACATAGAATCAACCAGGTTGGAAAAGACCTCAGAAATCATCAAGTCAAATGCAAACAAGTAATTTCAAGCAGAATTTTTTAGCCAGGTCAGTTTTCTAGAGTTCTTTGTGATTAATATTGCCTGCATGCTAACGAGAAGGAATTTTTTATAAATAATATCAGAAAACATTTTTAATAGTTTGTGCTTGTTGTGAAGAGGAGGATCTGACTTCTAGCCCATGCAAACGCTCTGAGATTTCCCATCAGGTCACAGACAGTATACAAAAAAAAAAAAAAAACAGTACATGCTGTATTTCTAGCCAGTATCCGTGTGAATTGTGTAGGGCAAGAGCTCAGTTTTGGTAGTGGGAAGGTGAACTTGGTCTGACTGGGATGGACTTACTTTTCCTCACAGCAGCCCTCATGGTGATGTCTTTTAGATTTGTGACCACAGCTGGAACAATTGACCCAAACTGACCAAAAGGATCATACTCAGCAAAAAACAAGGGGAAGTTTTTCCGAAGTAGGTATTGCTCAGAGACTGGCTGGCCATCCATCTGCTTGTAAGTAGGTGACAATCATTTGTCCTTGTATCATCTCTTGTGGGTTTTTTTCAGTTTCATTTTCTTATTCAACCATTTTTATCTTAGCCTGCAAGTTTATCTTGCTTCAGCAGTTCTGATTCTTTTCCCCATTCTGCTGCCAGGGGATGTGAGTGGGTGACTAGATAGGGGCTTGGCTGCCGGCCAGGATCAACCCCTCACAGGACTTAAGACTTGGACGGCAAAGGAGACAAATCTGTAGGGAATCAATTAACTTTAGTTCTTCTCCTCCCACAATTATTTTCTGCTGGTGTTACAACTCAGAATAAGTTCCAAACTAGAAAGAAAAAAATGTAATTATTTTCTTTGTGTACAGACACAAAGATTGAGCAAGGCTAAATGGGCCAGGGAAGATTTATATTGAATACTAGGAAAGATTTCTTCACTGAAAGGCATATCAAGCACTGGAACAGGCTGCCCAGGGAAACAGCTGAGTCACCATCCCTGGAGATATTTCAAAGACGTGTAGATGTGGCGCTTGGGTATATGGTGGACTTGATACTGTTAGGTTAATGGTTGGACTCAATAATATTGGAGGTCTTTTCTAATCTAAATTATTCTATGATTCTACAATATTACAATTCTATATATATGTGTTTATATATAAATGCTTACTTGTGCATATGCACGCAGAGAAAATTGTTTTAACTCTGTGTAACCAATGAAATTTATTCAAGAAGATTATTTATTTATTTATTTATTTATCTATTTATTTATTTATTATATTTATCCGCTGAGATAAAAATCCAGATCAAGACTAAGTCCTCTGGATCCTGAATGGTCTGTAATTACATATCAGGAATGTCTGTAATTACATATCAAGCCTTTGCTCAAACTGCTGAGTAGGCTGACATGAGCTTAGGACACTCTAGAAATTTCACATGCTGCAGCTCAGAATGGCCCGCCATGTAATTGAATTGACTACCAAAAAGCAGACCAGAGGCCCATCTCTGTGTCACTCCAGCCACGGGCTGAGTTTCTTCAGTTACATTTAGTCTTGCAGAACTCAAGTGCACAGAGAATGCAGTGGTGGTTTTGAGAGTGTGGTGTCTGTAAAAGACGCCTGCAATCACACAGGGTAGACCACACCATTGAAAAAAGCGCACTGAGGAAAGGAGCAAACACTGCTGTGGGACATGAGTGCTCAGGGTTCACACAGAAAGCTGGGGCAGAGGCGCTGCCTGATCTTCTGTGTTAGGAGCAGTCTGTTGCCTTTGTCTAAGAACAGGCATCAAATTGACAGGAAGATGCTCATTTCAAAACCATCAACCTGCCATGGGCAGCCACCACTCTGCCACGAAGCACCTGATAAAATCAGTCATGATGGCACAGTAAGAAAGAGCAGCCCTTTAACCAGGTAGTAAGTATCTCTCTTTGAGTGGCTACCAAAGGCATTGATTCCGCTTCCCCACTAAGAGACCAGGGAGCGCATTTGGTCCCTCTGAAATTCATCTTCACAAACTCCTCTTCCCAGCTTCTCATGGGACACACAGGAACTCTTCCATGTTTTCCAGAGGTCTGTGAGAAAACAGTTCTCCTCACTTTTCAGAGACCAAGTTACACAAAGCTAGCTATGCTTCTGTGCCTGGCTCAGAGTTCTACTTGGGACTTGGGAAAGGGGAAGGCTTTGGTGACTGGAGAGGCTCTCACTGTATGAGAACTTGCCTGAGGGCTTTCACAGCTCTGCTGCACACTCACCTTCCAGGCCCTGACTCCTCCTTGCAAGGCAAGCTCAGTGTCTCCAATAATTCCCAAACCAAAACTGAAGGGAAAGAGAGGTTGCACAGCCTTTGCACTTCCTCAGTGTTGCCCCACTGGAAACGCTGACTAACAAAGGATGAACAACAACATCACATGAAGAACTGTGGTGCACACACATTGCAATGTCCACGTCTGCCTTTTGCCTTTGTGCTTCCTCCAAGACACTCAGTCAAGTCTTAACTTTGCAGCTCCTGAATAATGCCTGTAAACAGCTACTGAAACAAGGAATCAAAACTCCTTACATCCCCAAGCAGCACTGGGGAGGTCTTTCAACTGACAGGAAGATGCCACAACAGACACAGATGTCAGAGGCCACCCTGACATCAACTCTCATTTTTTGTGCCGCTTGCCAATGTGTTTGTCCCTCTGTTCTCTCTACAGGGCTGTGCACCATTTTCATTTCAGAGCTATCTGAAACCAGCACGCTGCCATTGCCTACGCCTGGCCTAGGCTCTCTAAAGGACACAGTGTTTGCCATTTTAAGCCAGACCAACGCTGCTGAGTTTCTGCTCTGCAACATCCAGGACAGCAGGTATGTTTAGTACTTTCCAGTGTTCTGATTCCCATAGGCATCAAGGCTCCTGGGTCACAGGCAATCTGGAAAGCTGCTGTCAGCTGTTTTTCACCCATGTCACAGTGCCTTTGCAGGCACCATTTACACCTGGACTGTGCCTGGTCCTCCTTGAGTGAGGTCCTCCTTGAGGATGGACTGGCACAGTGAGCAGGTGGCCAAGTCCTAAGCAGATGCACAACTATGCTCCGTGTGCCAGATACTGTGCTTTCCTCTGGCTGCCTTACTGGCTTTCTGCATTCCATTGGAAAGACACTGGTGAGCACAATAGCCCCAAACTACCCACGACTCATCTTTCCTCTGCTTCTGGTTGAGTCAGGCTCTACTGAGAAGGAAAGAAGCACCAGGCAGTGTGGACGTGGGAAGTGACACACAACGCTTCCAACACGCAGCAATGTAATTCCACAGATGTAGAGATGGGTTTCCTGGGAGCTCTGCAATTTCATTCTCCTTCACACCTCAACATAGTAATGTTTGTGTCCTCGCCAGCAGAACACCAAAATGTTTTGTTCTCCTCACTGCCAAGATTGGAGATTCCTCTGGTTTACCATTCTTTTCTTCCTTTCCAGACCAAAACACCATGGGAAATGATACAACAGATTTCACCGACGTGGCATATACAACAGAATTTGACTATGGTGATTCGGCGCCTTGTCTTGGAACTGAGGAAAAACACTTTGCAGCAAAACTTTTGCCACCACTTTATTCTTTAGTAGTGATATTTGGCCTGACAGGCAACATGCTTGTTATCCTTATCCTGGTAAAATACAAGAGGCTGAAGAGTATGACAGACATCTACCTGCTCAACTTGGCAATTTCCGATCTGCTCTTTGTATTTTCTCTCCCTTTCTGGGCTTATTATGCAGTTCACGAGTGGATTTTTGGGAAGGCGCTGTGTCAGATTCTCTCAGGTGTCTACCTCCTTGGCTTCTACAGTGGCATCTTTTTCATAATCCTCCTGACCCTGGACAGGTACCTGGCCATAGTGCACGCGGTGTTTGCTTTGAAGGCCAGGACAGTTACCTACGGCATCCTCACCAGCACTATCACTTGGGTTGTTGCTGTTTTAGCTTCTGTTCCTGGCATGGTATTTCAAAAAACTCAGAAGGAAAGTTTACATTATACTTGCAGTGCTTATTATCCAAATGATTCCACAATAAATTGGAAGTACTTCTTTATTTTAAAGATGAACATTCTGGGACTTATTGTTCCAATGCTCATTATGATCTTCAGTTACTCCCAAATTCTTAAAATGTTATTGAAATCTAAGAATGAGAAAAAACAGAAGGCAGTCAGACTTATTTTTGTCATCATGATCTTCTACTTCATCTTCTGGACACCATTTCATATTTCTTCTTTTTTGCATACATTTCAAGCTTCACTTTTCACTCCAAGTTGTGATATCAAAGTCCAACTGGAGAAAGCAATCCAAGTGACAGAAACAATATCAATGATTCACTGCTGTATCAATCCTGTGATCTACGCGTTCGTTGGAGAAAAATTTAGGAAATATCTTCATACCTTTTTCCGAAAGCATGTTGCAGCGCACCTTTGCAAAAAGTGTCCAAGTCTTTATCGTGAAAAATTAGAAAGAGTCAGTTCCTCATTCACAGCATCCACTGCAGAGCATGACATCTCTACTGGACTGTAAAATTGCATCAGAACATTAGTTAGTAAATGTTGCATCACTTGCTTTGCCTTATGGACTGCCTGACATTATTTAAGATCTTTATGTCAACCGCTACTGAAAACTGTATGACCCTCAATTCTTGTGGTTAACTGTTCCCTGGGATTACAGCATTTTCTTTTGCTAAACTAAGAGAATCAATGAATTCCCCAGGAAATATTAATAGCATAGCTGTAATACATTAAAATTTAAATGGGACCCAGAATAGTATGCTCCCATTTCTTTACAAAAATTCCATCCAGTGAGATTTATCTGGGGGAAATACAATATTGAAAAGAGTAAGGAGTAATAGGTCATCTCACAAGATTGACTTCTGTTACGTTAACATTGTAAGATAAACACTTGGAGGAAGCTTTGGGAATTGATCTACCTGTTCAGTATTCAACATTAGTGAAGTACCTTTTGGAAGTGTCTGTATTCTTTCTGCTACATGGTCAGGCATTTGATAAGGAGGGGCTTTTGGTTTTCTTCATTTTCCCCTCCTACTCCTCATTTTCCCCATGTGAATAAAAGGTGTTTAACTAAAAAGGAATTTAAGGATTAATATGAGTTATCTCTCCTCTGATGGGAGAGTTGACTGACCTTTATCTTACTGGGACCATTTAACCCAAGGGTTTATCAATTAGGTAATATTGTAGTCATTTTTGAACATGGTTAAGTTACAGTATTTTGATTTTAGTTTTTTAATTTTATGTCTGTCCTATCACTGTTCTGTTACTGACATTTTCCAGTGTGGGCTGTTAATCAGCAACATTGCGATTTTTGTGGGTCAAATTTTTCAAGTAACTGCGCACACCAACTGCACAACAAGACAATGATGCCAGCCTTAAAAACATGAGGTTGTTTCTGAGAAATCATATCCCTCCAAGAAAAACAACACTTAACCAATAAAAGCACTTCAGCAAAGATCTGCAAGGCCAGAATGAAAATTAACTCAGCATTTGCTATGCAAGATTCTGTATGAACAAAATATCACAGAAATCTGAAGGATTTTGGAGACTATGAGCACTGTACTGAGAGGAAGCCTTCCTAGTTCTGGACAGATAAATCATGTGTGTGGAAGAGTTTATGCGGCTACACGTGACACAAGTGTGTCAGGTTAAGCTTCTGTATGAGAGAAACATGCTCTTCACACACACAGTAAGTCTGATGTTTGGGACACACTTCCAGGAAGACAGTGGCCTGGGGAACTGCAAAAGCAGCCAACTCCAGAGGAGTCATACTGGCTCTGTCTTCCCAGGAGAAGAGTGCCTCTAGCCAATTGGTGCCTCAATTAGAACTGCGTGGTGATTGAAGACCCGAGACCTTTATGCTCTATGTTGTCCTATGGCCATACACTTATTCCATTATGAGGAGTTTCCCTGTAAAAGAAAGTGGTATTCTAGGGACATGGTGCTAGCAGCGAAGAGGAAGGAGTGGCATAGCAGAGAGTTTCTTACTTCAAACTGTACAGAAGTGCAGGTGAGCACTCCTTACGCAAGTGAGCTGTCCTTCCATGTTCCTCCCCATTTATTTCAAAGGGCACTGCTCGTGCATGTAAGGACTAGTTTATGGAAATCTGAAGGGCAAGTTCAACTAACCTCCAGCAAGGTAAGGGCACCAGAGGGGATTCCACGCTAGTTAACATCAGGCATCTAATGCACATATCTAAATTACAGCAAATCTCTTCAAGTTGCCTCAGTGGCCAGTAGAGAATAAGAAGTGCCCATGGCAGAATCAGGCATAGGATTTAAATAGTCTCAAGGGAAGATTCCCTGCCCGGCTGTAGAAGGACCTGGAAATGTCAGCCTCTTAATTTAGGTATCACCTAAATTAATGCCTAAATTAAGGCATAGATTATGCCTTAATCTATGTGGTGCAAATACTCTTCCCCCTCTAGCCTTATAACGCCTAGGCATGTTTCTATTAGTTGTTAGCTCTTATCCTATCAGCTGTTATTACCTGACTGCTACCTTATGTGGTTTATAGCCACAGATAGACTGAACAAAAGACCAAAATCTATCCTCACAGTAAACCTTTTTGCTTGGAAATAATATTTTTCTCTTATTTTGTACTTCTTACTGAAACAAAGCAAAAGCACCTTTTTAATATCAAAACATAAATTAGTTTAGTGTGATACAAACCTTGCTGTAACTGAGATATTACTACTGCTGTGTTCCATTTTAAATCCTTATCTTTTTGGAATTAAGTTTCTTCCTGTTTCCATATTATTGCAGTGAAATTAATAAAATAAAGAAAATAAAATAAAAACAGAAATAAAAATAAATAAAACCTGTGTCTGCAAAACTGTGTACACTCCGTAGCCCACGTTCTCTTCTGTAAGCAAAAGGGCATTGGTTCTGCTCTCAGAGTGAAGATGGAAAAAAGAGGCAGCCATGGGTTTCAACACTCTCAATACCACACTTCAAACCAAGCAAGCATAGAACTGCCTGTCCAGTCCAGAAGCTACTTTAGCTGACACATCTTTTATCCACCAGCAAGCTTGGGGAGAGTGAACTACGATAGCTTTGGGAAAAGTCTGGGGCCACAGATTTTAGACGAGTGAAATCTGGAGAAAGAGGGTTGTGTGTGCTATAAATAAGGAAAGAGAAGGAATAAAAGAGGGCAAGAAAGATGTCACTTTATTAATATTGGAATAAATACAGGATTCACCACAGACTTTCTGCAGCCAATTTCAGATCTTCTTGCACTGTGTAGAGTGATCCCAGCCAAGCCACGTGCCTGATATCCCAAGTTCTATGTGTAAGGGACTTAAAAACTTCAAGTTCAGTATGAAAATATGCTGCTGCTTCACCATGTCATTCTCCCTGCTTCATTGTGCCCATTCCTTTTTTCAGCCTATGATCCACACCTCCTCATACCCCTGCACACTGTTCTCATTTGTCCACCATGGGATAAGCCAAATTCTATACCCACTCCCTTTTTTTTTCTGATTTTTTTTTTCTGATTTTGATTTCTGACCTTTTGAATGAAATGGAAACCAAATGGAAAGAAGTAAAAGAGCCATTTGTTCATAACTTTCAGGGTTGCTAATATATGGTTTGCACAGTTACACACTATATCTACTCTTTGGCACACAAAAGCACTTTCTGGTTCCTGGGTCCTGGTGTTGGGTTCTTTCACCTGGTGCGCAAGAGGCCAGTTCACACACACAGAGTTGTGGTATTTGCTTCTTTCATATCTGCTCAGAGATGGGTGCTAGGTGGCGAATCCACAAAGCTAGCACACTTTCAGTATGACAGGTGTTCATTTTTATACACTTTGAATAATAAAAATTCGACATTTCCAAAACAGGTAACAACTTAAAGCTGTAGTCCTTGACTCAGCATTCTCTCAACTCCATTTAAAGATACAGTGCACACTTACTTTACCCTGCATGCTCTGTGAAGAGGGGGTTTCTGTGAATAAGTGGTGTTCACAGCCTATAGGTGGGTACTTAACTATGTTAATGACTAAGCACTAAGCTCAAGAAGACTTCTTCGGCTTTAGCAACAGTTTCGTTTCCTTTGTAGTTTGATTTACAGTGTCCCTTGTTCTTTTTTCTAGGGCCACAGCTCTTTTTTCCTGCAGCTTTGGTTATTCTGCTGTTTTTAGTAAGTTCTTTTATTTCTCCTGTACTATACTTTAGTGAATTTTGAACCCTCTCAAGGTATTTTATTTCAATATCGGCACATACCTTGCCATTGTCCAGACTCCTTTCATCCTTTCTGTGACCTAGTATGCACTGGGAAGAAATTTGGTATGTGATTTTCCTAACCTGCCTGATAAAAACTCCAGGATTTACATGTACAATGAGGAGCATTTTCAATGCACAGTTGTGATAGCCCCAAACCCAACTTCTAGACCTAGAATGTATGTACTACAAATGTACTCGAAAAAAACGAAGTGTGAGAATTAAAGGTCTATGTAAAAATGAGATTCTGAGAGCTGAAAATATGTGAAATGCACAACTGTGGCCCAAAAGTAAAATCTATTTTACTATGGCAAGCCCTTATCTATAAAAATTAGGCAGCATATAGCAGAAGCCTGGATAAAAATAGTAGAAGGGAGCAAAGTTCTCTTCCTCCTCACTGCATGAGGAAACACAGTTAGTTCAGTAAGAGCAGGTTGGAGAAAGCCAAAACAAAAATGATACCATGATAATGGAATTAATATGCACTGCAATGTACAATTATGTATGTGCAAGATTTACAAGAGAGAAACAAACACAGAATCTAAAAATAGTAGGGGTGAAAAAACCCAGTTGTCCTTCCTGCCAGTAAACAGCCACGTGAAGAAGTCTTAATTCAGATTAGAAATGCTTGTGCCTCGAAGAGTTTGTTGTTTGTAACCCAGCTTCCTTTACACCTATGTATAAAATGTTTTGTTTGTTTTTTTTTCACTAGTCTCCATGATAGAAATCTTAGGGTGTGGCACATCATATTTTTTTCCCCCATTTTCCTCAGAAGGATACACCTTACAGATGCTAAAACTGGGTGTGATTGTTACAGTGGCAGCAAAAGATTAGTCACCAAAAGTTGAGAGTCCGAAAGAAAAAGCTGGTAAGTATAAATACCCTAAGCAATAAAGTAGTTTTAGCTGAATGTCTTTAATCAGCCACTTCAAAACAAAGACACTTGTTACTCACAAAATAAAGGATATGCCAATACAAACCTAATTTGGACATATTGAATATTCTGCTGTAAATAGAACAAGTAACAGCACAGTCTGTGTTCACTTGTCTTCATTAGACCTCTTCTCCAGACGAAAAGGATTAATATGCTTTGCCGTAGTTATAGACTTTTGAAAAGTGTTGTGCACTATCGTATCATGTTTACCTAAGAAAAGTATTTGTCATTGTGTCCCAGGACTCTTTTTTCCCCCAAGTGTTTTTTCTTCAGGTGGTGCAAGTTTGCAACAAATTGAATGGAAACTGTTAGTTGCATTTTCAGGTTTCTGTATCCATAAACCTACTTGATGACATTTGTGTGTCACACTGGTACATCAACTTTTGGTATGTGTTCCTAGCAGACGTTTCAGTACTGGTGGAGACCTCACACAAATGACAATATTTCCTTGTGGGAGTGCCATACCACTTAGATATCAGATAGTTCAGTGTGATGGACTGATTACTGTGAAGATGCATCATATAATCAGTCACTAGATAGAAGAGATTGACAAATGTAGCTTGATTTGACAGTGTAAATGACTGCACACTCACTGAGTACATCATCTTGAGCCCCATAGGTGAGGAACAAAACTCATTTCAATTTCCAGGAATGTCTTTATGGAGGGAATGAGTGGCACACCAATAAACATAACTCCTACTAATCTCTGAATGTAAAATCCTAATAGGGAAAATTTGAAGCTATATCACTGAATTGTTACTATTATAACTGAAAAATAGCCTCAATTTTTTGGTAAAATTATGAGGTTTACCTGTAGGAAAAGATTCTTAAAATCCACTGTCGCTCACGACAAGCAGCACTGAACTTTTTCAGAGATGTTGGGCAAGGGATTGAGAAAAGTTGAAAAGTCTGACTTGTAGCAACACATGTGCTGCTTGCATTGTCCCTATCTCACTGGTCACACACACTAGATGGAGGCAATCTGAAGGCAGCAGGGAAGAGGAGGTGAGAGACAGCATTGAGATGGACAGTGCCAGGCTGGTGTGATGGAGTTTCAGACTGGATGGGAGACCAGCTCTTGCAGGGGCCCCTGGAGAGAGCCTGAAGGGAGTAGGGGAGCAGAGAAAGAAAGATCTTATCCTAACAGCACTGATGAAAAACTCACCATCAGCACACCAGTGCCCCATGAACAGCACAAGGGGCCTGGGCTCGCCTACAGCCACATGTAAGACCTGATCAAACTTGGTTTCCCAGGAGCTCTATTTAC